CTTGGTCCCCAGATTTTTGGAGGGTGTTTTCTGAGAGAGGGATCTCACTATAAAGTTCAGGTTGCCTTGAACTTGCAATGATCTTCCTGCCTCAGCCCTGAGTGCTGCGACTACAGGTGTGTACCACCACATCTGGACTGGTGCTTGGCATCTGCCTGACCAGCTTGCTCGGTGTGCTGCTGGCCATGGATTAGGCTGGCCCAAACACATGATACCCTGACTTCGCCAGTTACTTTTAAAAGCTGTTCTCACAGTGGGGAAGAATAACAAGGAAAGAAACTCTCTTTAGCACTTACTATATACCAAACACTAGAAGACTGATTCACAGACATCATTTCATGTTAATGCTGAGACACCTGACCCCATCTTCAAGATGAGGAAGCTGAAGCTCAGGGAGGCGAGACTGGTGACCAAAGCCTCCTGGCTGTTTGAGGTGGGGCTGGGGCTTACAGCCGGCAAAGCTCTTCCGACTGGGCCCCAGGCAGTGCGGTCTGGGCCAAGTGAGCTCTCTGCCACTCCACACTGAGGAAGCTCGAAGGCACTGAAATGCTGAGCTGCAGGCACAGGGTTTCCTCTTGAGCCAAAAACCAGCCCATGCTCCTCCACACTGTCTCACTCCCCTCGGCTTTCCCACCGCCCTGTGGCCTGACGCTCAAAAGGAGCCTTTGTATCCTCCACGCCAGACTCTGCCTGCCTCTCCTCACAGCAGCAGAGATCCACCCGCTCAACAGGCCCAGCCCTGCCAGGGTCACCCGGGGCGGCCTCCTCAGCTCTACAACACACATGGATTTCCCGGACAGGAAGCGGGCGGAGGGAAAGCAAATTCTGAATCGGTGCTGACTGAGGCCCGGCCAGTCAGGTTCAGAGCAACCTTTCCTCTCTGGGACGCACTCACCCAATACCAGGCACAATGCCACTGGGCCGGAATGCTGCAGAGGTGGCTCTGGTCCTCAAAGAGCATGTGGTCAAAGAGTGCACACTGAAACTGTGCTGATGCTAGAAAGACTGGAGAGCAGGCTGAGGAGGGCAATTTAGACAGGGCTTGGGAAAGAAGGGCTTCCCGGAGGGTGTGACCTTGCAGCTGAGGTCCAGGAGAGGAGAGGGAGCCTGTCCCCTGTCCCTGGCTAGCACAGAGGCACGCTCACCAAAGCCCAAAAGGAGGACAGCCCATCCCTGAGCAGGAGAGGACGCCAGGAGAGCCTGGAAGAGGCAAGGCCAGGAGCTTGGCCTTTATTCCAGCTCTGACCAGCACTTGTAAGGGGCCTGTCTGTATCTCCGAAGAGAAGGCAGGGCTTCAGGTGTGTTGGGAACCGCTGGAGCTGGAAATTGGTCGTATGGGTGAGGGCAGGACAAAGCCAGAGTGCTGCAACCAGTCAAGCTACCTCAGTCTTGAGAAAAGCATCCTGCCTGGACAATTACAGTTGTTGGTTGCTAGGCAACATTGCCTCTTGTGATACTAACTTTGCAAGGGTATAAATAAACTCCCCTACTGCTGATGTTAGGTCCTCTTGCCCATTTAAGAGGTCACTTAACAAGGAAAGAAACTCTCTCTAGCACTTACTATAGTAAGTCTGCACTGGCTGAGGCCTCACTGAATCCTCACCTGGCTGGCATTGTTATTTTCCTCCTTACAGAAGAACCTGAAGCCTGACCCCCTCACATAGCACTTTGCAGACCATAAGAGACATATGCACATGCACAGCTTCTTCCCTGTTTTGTCTGGGTTCCCACTCATGGTAGCCCTCTGAATCCTGAATTGGCCTCAAGATCCACGCTTGGATAGGGGTGTGTTTCTGTCCCTGACGACTGAGACTTCTACACAGTCCTCTGGCCCATCCTGGGCCTCAAAGGATGGTGACAGCTTTTAATGTTACTCCACTGAACTGAGAAACCAGGAAAAGGAATTCACTTCTGGGAACCACATATGAAAAGAACATACCAGACAGACAAGACTGAATGCAGTGTGTCTGCCCTTTCCTCATCCTCAGCAGACTTGAGGTCTCCTAGGTGATGGTCAAGCCATTCTCCCGGCACGGAGGAGGGAAGATGCAGCTCACTATCCCGCTTAGGAGATGAGGCCCTGCCAACTGGGACCGCCCAAGGATGACGGGAGGGAGACAATGCTCCAAATCCCTGAGAGCTGCCTACCAGGTCCCACAGGCTGGAATTCAGTCAAAACCAAAAAGTACCACACACAAATGGTTCTCTTTGGACAATCCTTCCAGGTCACAGTTCAGGAATACACCCATTGCCCCTACAGGGCCTCACTCTAATGACAGGGGCCAGACAGAGACACTCCAGCCCAGAAGTACAGAGAAGGGCCGACACAACAGCTCACCAAAAACCACACTGCAGCCTTGCCCTAGGAGCTGACAGAGGGGCAGGACTGCAGGCAGGTGGCCCAGCAGCGCTGACAGTGCAGTAGCCCATGATGATGACCTACTTCAAATCCACGGGGTGCCATTTATTCATTTGGTTCCTGTGACCCAAGAACACACAAACTAGTTTACAATCCCCTCTCCCACCCTGCTCTGCACCCTACATTGGCAAGTCTGCTCCCTGGAAGACCAGGGAAAAGCACTGCAGCAAACACCCACCACCTCTTCCAGCCCACAGGGGCCTCCCTGAGGGCAGTGCTGGGAGACACCTAGGAAACAACTTCTCAGATGACAAAAGCCACCACATTCTAGGATGAACTGACTTTCCCTCAAATTGCTATCGAGCATTCCACTGAAAGGCAGGGCCCTGACCACAGAGAACAGTCAGGACTCCACGACCTCTGTGCCAGGGGAAACAGAGCCCACACAGATGTCATGCCCATACGGACGGAAATGAGCTGTCAGAGAACACCTGAGTGTTTGCAAAGGTAGGTCCCCAGCCTGCAGCAGCAAGTGCACAATCTTATCTGTTTTTCTTCTCTTTATCTTATTTTTCTTCCTCCCTCAGTGGCTGAGTAGGGCAGGGAGGGTGAAGAAGCAAGCAAGGGCAGTGTGGACTGCCTGCTTCTAGGCTCCCCCCGCCCCCAGCCTTGTAATCCTGTCCCCACAGGAGCATGCGCAAACAGCCCAGCCACACGCTCACACATGCTCACAACAGAGCCACTCAATCTCTCTACTTTGAAGAGTAAAATTAAACTGGATGCCAAAGTCTACTAAATCTCTTAGAGGATTTTCCTTCCCTTTGTACTTTTTCAAAAAGGAACCCATGGTAGTGGGGGAAGAGGATTTCATATAAGAAAGTGTAGAGGATTTTGTTTTTCAAAGAAAAATACACTGAACACTTTACAGAAATGTAGTCAATTAAAGAGGCCTTAGGCTACAACTCTCTCAGAGACAGAGGCAAGAGCAGGATGCGGGCGGAAGCTCCCCGCTCAGGGGCTTGTCCTAGATGTCGGTCACATTCTGCCTTTAGGAAAACTGTGAAGCCCACTCTGCCCCAGAAGGCAGACTTCAGAAGATCACCCAGAGCCCACCAGGATAGTTCTGAAGCCTCCACCACCTACCCACAGACATTCTAGTGAGCTAAGTAACAAACACAAAACCGTTTTATCCACCTGGTGTCAGTGATCCATGCGACTAAATGCTGCTGGTGCCAAGGCCCTGACACCTACTGGGCCGGGCAGGGCAGCCCCAACTCACCTGTGCTTGCTGTCCTCTCCATTCCCACGCGCACACTGCCCCCCTCACCCCCGCTCCGACTGCTCTGTGCTGAGGCTGCCTTTCGAGGTCTTGTTCTGCAAGGGGGGGAGAGGGCATGGAAGGGGAGGCTGATGCCGGCAAGGCCACGAGGAGACCGGACAGAGGGACAGAGGGACCGAGTGTGGGAGTCAGGGAGGGCAGAGGTGAGGACAGGAACAGCACATGGAAAAGGAAAGAAAAAGGAGAATCAGTATTGAACGACACACAGGAGACACCCAGGCAAGGTTTCTGAGGCAAAATCTGACTGTAAATAAACACAGGGAATATTGTTGGACCTATGATCCACCTCTCCAGGCAACCTCTTTCTAGTACTTTCTTGCTCTTCTTGGAGACTGGAGTCTGTGAGCAGCCACTGACCACCAGGTGTCACTGTGACCTCAGCCAGACAGGCAGCCACTGCAGGAAACATCAGGTGGCAGCAGCTCCATCCTACTCCCTTCTGGGGCTCCCTCTCCATCCCTCCCCATCCACAGCACCTCAGAAACAGGCCGGTCACCTCCTCATTGCCCGCCTTTCCTATGAGACCATCTCCTAAGCAGATGGGAGGTAGGGCAGTGGCAGTGGCCACTGTGTACCATCAGGCTGCCTCTGGAGCTCTACAACCTGAACGAGACTGCAAACTTCCCCAAAGCCCAGAGTCAACTCTTCCCCCAACCCCCTAAATCTCAGAAAATACCTCTGCTGCCCACCAGGCCTAGCATCCATCTCACCAGATCAACTTGTGAACTGGGGTTCCTTTAAACTAAAGTGGAAGCCAGTAATTTCATCAAGTCTGATCTAATTTCTCTGACTGAACAGAAAGCCCCTTCAAAAACAAACGCACACATTGCTTGCAGCCCCCTCAAACCACACAGGGTGCACACCCCCAGCCCAGGGTGAGGGGGGACAGGTATAGTGGAGTCTTCCAAAGCCTGGGCTTTAGTCTTCCAGGGGAGGCACCCTCATACCCCAGTCCCGCTGGGAATGCAGGTTCCTCAGGCCTCTGACTCACCTTGTGCTTGGGGCACCTCACCGAGAAGTTCTCCTCATGTAGCAAACAATCTGCAAGACAGAAGGGGACAGTCAGTGAAGCCTGCACAGGCTGGCACAGCCAGACGCAAGTGTGGCCACACAGCCTAGGACTGACAGCATCAGACATGGAGGGAAAAGGTCCCCATGCCGTGGTTTCTTCAGGAAAACATCAGCACCCTAAAAAAACTACATGGTACCCTGTCACAGTGCAGCACCAATCACTTAAATAATTAACATTTTAAAATAGTTAATGGTGGGTCGGGGATGCAGCTCAGCAGCACAAGCGCCCACTTGGCAAGTAGAAGGTCCTGAGTTCGATTCCCAGCACCAAAAAATAAATAAATAAAAATAGAATGGTTAATGGTATGGGTGAACATTCGTGATACCAAACTGTTTCAAACAACCAGGATATACAAATGTATAAGTATTCCTAATTTCATTAAAATGTCTTATATGCATTTAAAAAAGAATGGAAGGAAATCTACCAAAATGTAACAGTGGTTCTGCGGGTAGGAAGATTACAGGTCACTTAAATGGCTATTTTTTTTTTTTTTTTTTTATTTCTCTGGTGAGAAATGGCTATTTTTTTATTTAAACCAGAGACTATTTTTGAACAATGATACTTTAACAATCCTCAGTTCTAGGCCAACCCCCGACCCCAGGCACCTTTTCTTCTCTGCAGAACCCAGGAGTTTGAGAGAGAGAAGGGGCCAGGTCGAGAGCCCTATTGCTAACACACCCCACTCCTTGCAGAAACAGGAGATCCTCTGGACTAGAGTCACACAATTCACACTGAACACTTCGGGGACAGTGGAATCCCAAGAGGGTGCTTTTAATCCCGGGTGGGATGGCAGGAGGTGTGACACACTCCAACTTTTAACGTGGTGACAGCCTTCTTGACACCAGCAAGGAACATCTGCCTCTAGGTGAGTGGGGCTCCATGGCACAAGGCTGGTGTGGAGCAGAGTGAAGAAATCTAATTAATGAGTTCACTCTGCACACCACAGCTCCCGCAGACCGACAGCCAGGTCACTGGTGCAGGACATGGTGGCAGAATGTTAATAAATATTGATCACACATTCTCAGAGGCTCCCCAGCACCATGGCAGGAGGCAGCCGTAGTACTTACCCTTGTTAAGTTTACTATTTAACCAGTTTAGGCTGAAATCCAGCTTACCAGTCTGTGTACCCAGAGATCTCAAGTGAAATAGTAATGAGCAAAGGAGCATATAAATGAGAACTTTTCAGGTTCCCAGTACGCTGAACGAATCCAAAAAGATACTTTCCTAATTCAGCTCACCCTACACCATCAGGACCTGCCTGCAGAGTCCTCGGCTATCCAGAGGGTGAGTGGCAGGCAGCCTTCCCTGCTCCCAGGGCCCAAGAACCCAGCCAGTCCTCACTAACCTCCAGACCCCTCCCCCAGCAGGCAACTAGCCTGGCAGTAAGCGAAATGTGTTAATTTAAAACCCACAAGTACACAGCGTGACCAAGACTCCTGCTGCTCCAATCTGCCGGAGAGTTTATGAACAGCAGGAGACAGACAACTGGAGCTCAGGGAAGCACTGTCTCCTCACCTGGGCTCTGGCAGCACTGCTCCCGCAGCCTCTAGTCTGGGCCAAAGAGCAACAGTGCAGCACAGGAGAGCCGGCCACAAGGTTACAGAACCAGAACGGGGGCCATGTTCGCAGTGAAGGGTGCCATCAGAAAGGCACGAGTGGCTCAGTTCCCTCACAGCCACAGAAGAGTGACCAGCTGCCATGGATCATTGATAAGTACGCCTAAACCTAGGAAATGCCTTCCTGAATTAAAGCAGAAAAGAAGGTACGTACACATACAGGACAACTGAGAACTAGTGCCAGGTACTTTTGGGAAAGGAAGTCTCCTAAAGGAGTTGCCAGGGCAGTGTCCACCCCTGCCTGTTTGGGAACACTGCAAAGACAAGGGCTCTCTTCTGTTCTCTAGCAGATCCACAGGTTGTCAGGAGCTGCAATTTCATCCCTGGCAGGTGTCAGCAGCACAGCTAGAGAGCTCTGGCCCCAGAAGGTAAGGGTACGGGGAGCCTCTGCCATCTCCAGCCAGGCCCTGCTAGGGCGGGCGTGAAGAGCAGGAGGCCGGGTGGTAAATCTCTTCTGGGGACTGTGGGGGACGCCTGTGACACAGCACCTACGACATGACCAGCCAGCCAGTCTCCTGATCTGGTTTCTCTAAGGCCTGACTACCCTACACTGCAGAGGCCTGGTCAACATTTCCACAGGATGAAGTCAGAACAAACAGCTCCACAGATCACCAGACAGGCTGGGAAAGACTCACAGAGCTTCTTATCATTAAGATGGCTTCCAGAAACAAACAGCCCGCTGGGAGGGCATACACTTTCATTTCTCTCTATGCCAGTGGACTTTGAGGAACCACTTGTAACAAGTGCCATAAACAGCTTCAGATACATGCCCAGCCACAGAGACTGGCTGAAAACAGCAACTGCAAGGATGAGGTGAGAGAACCAAGAACGTCCTCTGGATCTGGGCAGCAGAGACTATTTTGGGCTCGGCTACCATCGACCTCAGAGCTGCTATCATCCTTGTGTCTGTCGCTGCTGTGCAAGGGCGTGGAGGTTCCTGGAGCACATGGAAGGGAATAAGGAGCTGCTTTCTGGGAGGGGTCAGACCCTCAGTGTTCCACATGACCTCTCCAGGACTATGACCCACTACCGCAGGATCAAAGTCTGCGAAGGAGCAGCTTCCAAATGATGCTATGAAGGTAGCTGTAGCGAGTGAAATTCCCAGCTGTGTTTTCTTCACTAGAGTAAAAGAAAAATCCCCTCCAGGCAAGGTTCTTTATGCACAGAAGAATTATTAATGAGCTACCACAGCTCTTTTTTCCTTCTGTCTTAATTGCTGTGGCTCACTGTATTAAATACATTAAAACTTTTTTTAAGAAGTCAAAGCTCCTGCTATTCTTACTATATCCTCTACCTGGAGCCAAATCCCGTGCCTGTGACATAACAGGCAACACAGAGAAGTTCACAATGATGTCAGAAGCCAGGACCAATGTTGGGGGCTGGGGGAAGTTGCAGGAGCCACAGATCCTCAGGAAACAAACGTTCTGTTTTTGCTGGAGACATTCCAGCAAAAAAAGTTTTCCCTGAGATATCAGTAAGTCTTTAAAGATTTGGGCAGTAGATAGCAAGGCAGACATGCTCCTCACTTACTAAAAGATTAGGGTCTCTTACTCCCAGGGACTTCTCTTGGTCATGATTAGAAAGAAAGGCCACCAGTGAACGCCTTTCCTGGATGTAAGACACATCACACAGGACAGGACCCCTGAGAAAACTGCAGACTAAACACAAGCACCCATCCCCACAGAGCAGTGCAGGCCTCTGAGTCCTTATGCTTTCAGTCACTAAAGGCCCTGTAACATAGTCCTCTGTGAGGCTACCTCTCTGGTCCCACTCAAGAGAGGCAGAGAATAGCAGTTGGGGCAGCAAAGCCGAAGAATTAAGACCTCGGCCCCATGCTTGGTCACTAACTTCTTTCTGTTAAAGACAGGCATTACCCGCTCAACTGGGCAGGCACATAAGATGGGCTGGAACAGAGAGTGACAGGTATCATTTGCTGATTGACCCTCAGCTAATGAAGAGAGTTCTTGCTGCCTTCAGGTTGGTGGGGAGGGACATGATGTTGCCACTGCCTTCCCTGCCCTCTGTAAGGAGTCCCAGTAAGATTGCTGGGTGTCAGCAAGGTGGCTCTAAGAGTGTGCTGTCCAGTTGTAAGCCATATATACGTGGTCGCTTAAATCTAGGTTTAAAAAAAATTCACTTCCTCAGTCCCCACTAGCCACATTTTGAGCGCTCCACAGTCACATCTGGCTGTGGCTATGGTAATGCAGTATGCAAATCTACAGCTTTTCTACCATCACAAGAAGTTCACTAAGCAGCATGCATCATCCTTTCAAAAACTACCAGGAGGCAGGGTGGGAGTGGGAGCAGGTGGCAGCATCCAAGGCCGGCCTTGCGGCTGTGAGCCTGGCTGCTACACGACCTGTGCGCCAGTGTGCCTCCAGGATGTGCCCAGGTTAGGGCATGGTCACCTGCTGGCTGCTCTGCCTAAGGCTTCTGAACAAAGCCAGTGGTCACCGCAGGAGACCACTGCTTGCTTCACCATGGGGAGAGTCAATCCTTGCAAGATTTTCCACATAAAATGACCGATCATCCCCAACTTAACACTTAGAATCCTCACTTAAAAACTTCAAGTTGAAAAAGAAAACAAACATTCTGAAGGAACTGGGGCAACCCAATAAAAATGAGGAAGATCAACTAGTTAGCTCCTTGAGAGAGGATTTAACAGCTGTGCTACTACAAAATGTGCTGGACCATGACCTAGGGTAAAACAAAGTCAGGCTCAACATGGAAGCGCTCTCCCAAATCCAAACTCCCTCACATGACATTTTGATGCTCTCTGTTGAAGAGAGGGACAGCAGGGAACAAGAAACAGTGTTCTGGCCAGGACCCTGCTCTTCAGCGCAGGCGTACACACACATACCCACACGTGCGCACATGTACACACTCTCCCCCACACAGAGAAGGCTCTAACTCTGGCATAAGCATTATTCTCTGTACCTGTCTTGTCCTTTTAGCTGCTGCTCCTACAGCAACTTGGAGGCAGAGTGGGAGAAGAAAGGGGCAAAGTCCAAAAAAAAAAAAAAGGCAAAAAAGAAAGGGGCAGAGAGAAAGGTGCAAAGGGGGACATGCTCTAGCAAAGTAGGAGCCAACAAGCTTCTGACCTTGGAGCAGAGTGAACAACACGAACTTTTGAGACCCCACGTGTCCCTATTCTGTCTGCTTTATGCCTGTACCTGTCCCCAGATGCTGTCAGCCTCACTCTTTCTCACCTCTTCCCCACCAAACCCTGCCTCCCAGCAGTGGTGCAACTGCCTCCATGACAGCCCTGTTTCTCCCCTCACAACCCGGGGACGCTCAGACCATAGCTAACCTGCTCTTCACTGCATTCTCGGCTCTGGATTTTATTCCTCTGCCAACCTGAGTGTGAGGCACTGCGAGGACTGGCTGGCTGAAGGTCTTGCATATACTCAACGGTCAGAAAGTAACTGGGAGAAGTCTAGGAGAGAGGATGTTTCTCCCCGGGTGCAATGCTGCGCCACAACTAGAGCCCTCTGAGTGGCTCATTGGACGGCAAGGTTGTTTCCCTCTCTCAGCAGCAAAACACACCATCTGCTTCATCTCAACAAGTGAAATGCCACAGTCCTTGTGACACAAACCCTTATCACTTACTGAAATAGAGACACTAGGAGAATCTTGGGTTCCTCACCCACAGCTCCTTAACCCCTTGGAATTTCCCCTGTGCAGGAGCATCTTCAGTTCTAAGGAGGCAACATGTGTAGGGCCAAAGACTGAGTTAATAGTCAATCCTGCCTATGTGCCGAACACTCCTTGAAAGCCCCTGAACTACAATGTTCGGGGAGCATCCAGCTGCTGAACATGTGGAGATGCCCGAGGGTGGTGCACACTCAAGGGCTCGGAAGCTCTATGTCCCTCCCACACACCTCCATATCTCTTCCATCTGGCTCTTCATCTGCATCCTTTATAATAAATGGGTAAACATAGTGCTTCCTGGGGTTCCTCAAGTGGCTCTAGCACATTAATCAAACCAGAGTAGGGAGTTCTGGGAACCTTGAATACAGCTGGTCATTCAGAAGCACAGGTTATAACCTGGGACTCGAGACTGCCATGTGAAGTAGGGGTAGTGTGGCACTGAGCCCTGACCATGTGGGATCTGCACTAACTCTGGCTAGTGTCAAAACTGAGTTCACCTGTGGAACACCAGGTAGTGTCCCTGGAGGACTGCCTAGTGTTTAGAGAAAAGGAGCGTGGGGTGAGCAGCACAAGGCTGGTTTTTCCTATCTCACACACAGCTCTTCATGATAAAAACACTCTTCAAACTAGGACTAGACTGGTGCTCCCTCAGGTATATCAAGAACACTCATACACAGCTACACCACACACATTCACTTATTCATTCATGCATTTATTGGCAGTACTAGAGATGGAACCCCAAACCCAGAGACACTTTTGCCACTAAGCTACATCCCTAGCCCTTTTATTTTTGTTTTTTTATTTTGAGACAGGATTCCACTTAGTTGTCTAGGCTGACCTTGAACTTGAGATACTTCTACCTTAGCTTCCCCAGTAGCTGGGATTACAGGTGTGTGCCACCACACCTGACTTTGTATTTCCCAAATCAGGAATAAGATAAGGGTGTCAGCTGTTAACACATCTATCCAAAACTTTATTGGAGATTCTAGCCAAGGCTGGCAACTAGGCAGGAAACATAAATAAAAGGCATCAGATCAGGAAGGAAAAGCCAGGCGTGGTGGCACACACTGGTAATCCCAGCACTCAGGAAGCTGAGGTAGGAGGATTGCTGCAAGTTCCAGGACAGCCTGGGCTACAAAGTGAGTTCAAGGCCAGCCTCAACTGAACTGTATTGTGAAACCCTGTCTCAAAAAGACCGCTCCCCTGCAAAAAAAAAAAATCAGGAAGAAAGAAGTAAAACTATCTCTATTCATATGTATCATGATCTTTTATACAGAAATTCACTACAAACTATTTGAACTACATAGTTAAGTTAGCAAAGGTGAAGCATACAGGATCAATATACAAAAATCCATTACATTTCTATACATTCACAATGAATCATGAAAAATTAAGAGAAAATTTCAATTACAACAACACTAAAAATAGAACACTTAGGAATAAAGTTAATGAAAACAGTATGAAACGTAGCTTCTAAAAACTACAAAACAGTGTTAAAAAAACAAATGGATAAGCTGATGCTAAAGTTCATATTTTAGGAACTTTAGGAATGGTAAGAGATCTACAACAGTTAACCTTAAGAAAGAACACAACTGGGAAATTCACACTGTCCAACTTCAAACCCTACTACAGAGCTTTCAGAATCAAGATAGTGCAGAAATAAGTCCACACGTTGATGGCCAAATGATTTTTCAACGAAGATGCCAAGATCATTCAATGAAAAAAGAACAGTACTTTTTACAAATGGTGCATGGACAAGTGGATATCCACATGCAAAAGAAAATCTAGACTCCTTCATACAGCACAAAAATTAAAATAGATCAAATACCTATGTAACAGCAAAACCTCTTAGGAAAAAACACTGGTATAAATCTTTGGATTAAGCAATTGTTTCTTTAATATGACACCAAAAGCACACAAAACAAAGAAAAAAACTGATAAATTAGACTTCATCAAAATTAAAATTTTTGTGCTTTGGAAAACACCGCCAAAAAAGTAAAAGGTCACAGAATCGGAGAAAATATTTGAAAGCCACATACGTGATAGCAGGGCTGCATCCAGAAATGCAAAGAATTCTTAAAACTCAGCAATAAAAAGACAACTTGATTTAACAATAGGCAAAAGATCTGGACAGGCATTTCTCCAAGAAGGTATACAAATGGCCAGTGAACATGAAAAGATATGCATTATCATTAGCTATCAGGGAAATAACAAAATCACAATGAGGTATCATTTCATATCTACTAGGCCAGCTATAACAGTAACAACGATAGTAAAGGCAGATAATAACACCCGTCAGTGCGGGTAGAAACCAGAATCCTAACACTGCACTCTACACTGTGGAATGAAGGCAAAATGGTGCATTCATCCACTTTTGAAAAAGCTTGGCAGAGCTGGGTGTCGTGGTGGATGCCTGTAATCCCAGCACTTGGGAGGCTGACACAGAAGGATCGTTACAAGTTGCCTGGGCTACAAAGTGAGCTCAAGGCCAGCCTGAACTGCATAGTGACACCCTGTCTCAAAAAGAACAAAAAATAAAGGCTTGGCAGTTCCTGAAAAGGTTGAATGTGGAGTCATCATATGATCCAGTAATTCCTCTTCTTGGGTA